AGAGAAATTATATGTACATGTAAATTAAAGTTAAAACTTATTTCCATAAAAATTTGTAAAAGCTTTCTTCCACATAAGTAAAGTACGTGTATATACACAGTATAGTCTCTCTTAATGGACACTCTCTATAGTGTACACCTCCATTTAACGGACAGCACCTAGTGTACCAATTACATTCCTTACTGTATAAAATAACCTCCACATAAAGAACACCTCTGTATAACAGAGACACTTCCATGATCCAAAGTGTTCATTATATAAAGAGGCTAGTCTGTACATATACGTGGACATAAATAAGATTCATTCCCCCATAACATAATGTACATGTACATTATAAAATTCAATTATATTTTAAAATAATAATCTTACCTTAATATTCTAATTATTCCTTTGACTCCGCCTACTGCTAATAAACCTCTCCGCTATCGCTCAGGCTCCATGTACATGTATAGAAATTTTCTTCCGCCTAAAAATAAAGATCATAAATCACCTCAAACTTACTACACAGCATAAGGACATCAATATATATCAGAAAATGTAAAAAATTTGGGGTAATTGCGGAGCCATTTTATGGGCTATAGCCGGGGGTACTTTTCAGAAATTTTAAAAATAGCCATAACTCAAAAAATACTTTTCAGAAACAGCTCAAACTTTCTACACAGCATAATTACATCAATGTGTATCAGAAAATGTAATAAAAACTGGAGGTGATTTCGGAGCCAATTTTCAGAAAAAAACCATTTTTACAAAAAACCGTGGGCTATAGCCTTGGATATTTTTCAAAATTGACCAATTTCTTAAAATGGCCATAACTCAAAAAATACTTGTCAGAATCAGCTCAATCTTTCTACACAGCATAAGGATATCAATATGTATCAGAAAATGTAATAAAAATTTGGGGTGATTTTAGAGCCATTTTTTGAAAAAAACCATGGGCTATAGCCTTGGGTATTTTTCAAAAATTGGCCGATTTCTTAAAATGGCCATAACTCAAAAAATATTTGTCGGAATCAATTCAAACTTTCCACATAGCATAAGGACATCAATATGTATCACAAAATGTAATAAAAATTTGGGGTGATTTCGGAGCCATTTTTTTGGAAAAAACCATGGGCTTTAGCCTTGGGTATTTTTCAAAAATTGGCTGATTTCTTAAAATGGCCATAACTCAAAAAATATTTATCAGAATCAGCTCAAACTTTCTACATAGCATAAGGACATCAATATGTATCAGAAAATGTAATAAAAATTTGGAGTGATTTTGGAGCCATTTTTAAAAAATAAACCATGGGCTACATCTACAAAGAGCATTACATTTACAGTTTCCAAGCCACTTTGTTATTGACCACACACATTACTTACATCAGCATCAGTATAACACTGGATAGGTACTATCTGATTATCAGGTACACACTGATAGACAGTGACCTAATGAATGAGGACAGGGTTAACTAATAAATAATAATGTACGTGTACATAGAGATAACTATAATATCCTTTTTCAATATTATTCTTACACATGAGCTTGATGAACAAAATATACATGTACATACAATGGTACTTTTCACCAACCAATATTTTAGTCTGCTTTCTTGATCTAACGATGCTATTTCAATTATACAATTGATTAATAGTGGGTGTGGTTAGCTCAATTATTAAACCCTGTTGGTTCCAACTGTAGCAAATATTCTCTTCTCAGGAAGAAAAGGATTGAACTGTACCCCAAACAAAGGTTGAGAGTGTCCTTCCTACAATAAATAAATTAAAATAAATTAAATTAAATTAAACTACAGGGCACACCTTTACAAATCCCACTAGCTCAGTTGGGATATTCGAGGTTGTATTTTACCACTGCTACTGGTAGTCTACTCTACACGTGATTTAAAAATACGGGGATCTGTAGATCTACAAGTACAACTTCCGTATACTATAAACACGTGGATGATAAAAGTTGTTATCGTTTCTGTGTCTTCAATATTGAATTTGATTGTGCTTGCCAAAGAAAGTTTGATGCTGAAGGCAAAGAAGTTGAACCTAACTTTGGACAAACGGCAAAAGTAAAAACCGGCTACCTCAACTCATCATACAGTAAGAATTTGGAATTCATAATGTACATACAGTGTGTCTGCCGGAGGTGTGTGTGTGTATAAGTAATGTAATACCTGAGGACTGAGATATCTGCTTGAGCTGAAGCTGAGGGCAGATATCAAGGGACTCAGGTATTACATTACTGATAGTATTAGCTATTATTTGTTACTATAGAAACTGTTGCCAAGGGAACGCCAGACACATTGAGTTATGCCGAAGTGTGTGAAAGAGTTCATTCTGATCTGGTCGGGTTTGAGACAGGCAGTCATTCTCAGTTGATTTGTTTCTGGGGAGAGAATGAGAGCTACGATCATGTGGAGTGTAGCCCAGGACAAAGAATTAGACTAAAGACTAGAGGAGACTCTCTACTGATAGGTGAGGGAGGAAGGGAAATGAGTTTATGCTGATGTACGTGTACATGTACATGTTATATATTGTTTAAATAAGTAGCTGTTACATTATATTGTTAGTATGTCTGATGTTTGTTCTCATTATTATTATTTATTTTGTTCGTCACATCTCTTGATAATTTTCTTTTGTCCCATTTACATACACAATGTACATGTACATATATGCACACACATACCCTTTCTCCTTTGTTCTATTTCTTCTATGCAACATACGAACACATGTACATGTACATTTATTTACATGTATTTATATGCATGTACATGTATTTCTCTTCTCTCCCTAGAATCATTCACAAAGCTGGATAGTGATCAGCGAGCTCACTCATCAAACTACACTGGAGGAGAGAAGACAGGACAGAGCTGGACTGATAAGGTACTCGGACACAAATCAACTGATGAACCCAGCCAGGGAACAGGAGGAGGAGGAGAGGTTGATGATGATGAATGGGTGAGGATATTCTTGTCTTATGTTCTTGTACATTGTAAATTAGATCTACTGTAATTTTTGATACCTGAGCATGTACATGTACATGTACACATACTGTATAGCAAGAAATTTTGGAGGGAATTAAATTTGGCCAATTCGGCATTTTGATAGCCATTTGCCAAAATAAAGTCGCCATTTTAAGCCATTATATGCATGTTCAATGGCACATGGCCGCTAATTCACCAAATTAAAATTCGCCAATCACCAAAGTTTAGCAATTCACCAAATTTAACTCCCTCCAAAATTTCCCGCTATACAGTATATTTTGGATTTGACTGCACTAATTATTAAAATACATGTACGTATGGATGTTGGCATTTTCACTGGTTTTAAACTTTATGCACTACATGTATGTTCATACTTTATAAGTGGCACTAAAGCATTTATAACCAAGCATGTACATGTACATCGGACATTTTGACTCTACTAATGATACATGTACATGTACTAATGGTAGCATTTTCATTGGTTTGAGATGATTTATATGTACATGTACATACACTATGTTCAGTTGTACATTGGTCATTCTTTCCTTTCTCTTTCTCTCTATACACAGGATGACTGAGTATACACAAGAAACCAAAATAACTTTTTATTTTTCAATTTTAGTTCAAGTCATTACTTTTAGCATCAGTGAATGATAATTAAAATGTATTATTGTTTGTTAGAAAAATAATGCTGTATACACAGTATACTGATGTACAGTGTATTACAATAAGTTTGTGTGTGAGTGTATTATTGGTTCTTTATGATTTAGCATCCCACCTCCATACAGTTCCATTATCACACACACCAATGATAGTCCTACACAATAAAAACAATAATAATAATAAGATATGAAGTTTCAATGAATAATACAACCAGAATACATAAATAGTCGTCTATACAAATGCAATGTAGTGACCTAGTGATAACAACAATAATAGTTCTAGCAACAACACTCATTATGTTTTGTATAATTCAAAATAATAAATAAAACTGTTGGGAGAGGATACAAATGGTGAAGAGCCATGGACGAGTCCTGAATGTGATGATTCCTTTCTGCAAGTACTGGATAGCGACTGACAGATTTTAATATGACATGAGGTGCTCATACAGTACAATCAGTGAATTTACAGATAAAGAATGAGTTCTTGCATGCCTCAACTATCTATAAAAGAGCCAACCTATAGTTTTAAGAAGTGAAAAGATGGTCATAATCATCCACACTCCAGCTGCAAAATAACAACTGAGTGAGTTATTCCACCGTACCTTGTCCTGATGGACTGAGACTAACTCTGATGATAGAAATTAGTCATAGGACTCAGGTGAATACACTTCTGTCTTGATAGCAACGGAGGGGCAAGCGCCCTGGCTCCTGAAAGCAAAATTTAGAAAAACGGGAATTGCCAATGAGTAAGAATATTCATTCCTATGATAAAATGCTATAAAAGCCAAAACAGCAACCAAAGAGCTTACGGAAGAGATAAATA